ACTCCAATTCTTTTTTTTGGGAGGCCTCTTCTCCTTCTCCATTCCACATGGGGTTGCAACAGCTATTTAGCAAAGGATCATCTGAATTGCACCCCGACCAGCATTGAGATTGACCACCTGTGGTGGGACAGAATTATTCCCATCAAGCTCCCTCATGATTGCCTGACATCCCATGTAAGTTCAATATTTCCCAGATTTTCTTTTTTCAGGCTATTTTCTCTTCATTGTCACCTGATGATCCTGCCAGTAACACACTTCCTGTCCTTCGGGTGACAACACTTTCATCGTACTGTATTAATGACAGAGCAGCGTTGTCACCCTAGGTGACCACAGTCGCCTCTCCCCTCCTCATCTTCTTAACACAAAGAGGTGTTTTGTAGTTGGCAGGAGATGGCTGATCCCATCGTTTTTGAGGTTTCAGTTCCGTGCGCAGGAAGCGGAAGCGAGATTCCTGGCAGGATCAACGGGGAATATTCTGTACTTGCAGGAAATGTTCTTGGCCTAAAAAGAAAGCTAATGTAGCCGCCGCCGCATGTAAGAACTGATAAGCCGCAGTATATTGCGTTCTTGCTCTCGGGGTCCGGGTACATCTTAAACTTGTTACACTCCCAAAACATTAAGGCCCCGTTCCCACTGCGCGATATGCAAATCGCGCGTTTGTCGTGCGAGTTGCATATTGCGCGACATCGCGTTCAAGCTTTCATTGAGCAAGCTTGAATCGCGGCTAAACCCGCTCCAAAAAGGGTCCTGCTGTAGCGACACACGACCCGCGACAGCAGGACCCTTTGCCCCATTGAAATGCATTGGAGCGCGATATCGCGCAGTAATTTGCCGCGATAGCGCGGGAATTTTCTCCTGTCCCTGCAGAGAGCCGTGACTGTCACTCATGGCTCCCTGCAGGGATTCCCCCCTCCCCACTCCGATCCTCCAGCGCCGACTGGCGGAACGGACGGGGGAGGGGGCGGGTACAGCTGGTTCTGCCTCTAGATAGGCAGAGGCAGCTGTCACTCACGCAGCTGGGCGGATCCAGACATCGATGTCGGGATCCGCTCCGGCTGCGGCGTCTCAGTATACCGCGAGCTGTAGCTCCCTATATACTGAGCTTAGGGTGACGGGAGGACGCTAGTTTGTGTCCCCCCGTTACCCTGAGGAGAACTATGGGGAAAAGCCCTGACCCCGTAGTTCTCCTTTTGAATGCCGGTCTTATCTTTTTGGCATTTACAAGTATTCCGGCTTCATTTGTCCGCCGCACTTCTTTTCTGCCACAGCCTGCTGCCCGTGTACATTATGGGACCCCCCCCCCGGTGCCCTACAGTCTACTTTAAGGTCACGTTCATGATGAACATTGAGGTTGTTTATGGTGTTGCCTGTGTATCGTCCATCCAATCCATGAGCTGTATTCCCGGAGGGATCACTTGTCGGAACTCTGCTCCTTATCTCCTCCTCACCGCCGGCTCCTGAACCTCCTTTTTGTTTTTTCTTTCCTAGGCCGTAAATCCGGGAAAGGTTTTTACATCTACCAGCAGGGAGTGAAGGAGAGAGCCAGCAACTCCGGTACAGAGGAACTCCTGGAGAAATTCAAATTGCAGGCCAGACCCGAAGTGTAAGTCCTGAGCTGCCATGATGGATAAAGTGGAAGTGCCGTCACGCGGGGGCTGCGGCCCGCACCCGGGTGCCATCATTGGAGGGGTGACTGTTAGTCATTTTGGTGTCACCCCCTATTAAGATAGCCGCCGCGATGACGTCACGGCGGGGTGTCAGCCGGTCTCCGCCCACAGGGTGACACACAGCCTCGGGACGCCCCTGGCAAATGATACCCAATTAAAACATATTTCTAGCATTCTTGCTGTGATTCAGCCTGCCTGTGTTCTATCAAAGACTGTGACTGGGTTGGAATGTGTGACCGGTCACACATTTTAACATAATCACGCCCATTTTTTTGGCGGTGGAATATGTGACCGACAAAAGGTGAAGAAACCGCTAAATTACTCATCCACTGACTTGTTATCTTTCGTCTTGACTATCATAACTCCCTCCTCATTGGCCTTCCACTACACAGGCTCCTCCCCCCTTCAGTCTATCATGAATGCAGCTGCTAGACTCATCCACCTAACCAATCACTCAGTGTCTGCCACCCCCCTCTGCCAATCCCTGCACTGGCTTCCATCCCCCGCCCCTCTCTGCCAATCCCTGCACTGGCTTCCACTCTCTCAAAGGATAAAATTCAAAATATTAACCACTTATAAAGCCGTCCACAACTCCGCCCCCGGCTATATCTCCAACCTTGTCTCAAAGTATCACCCTAACTGTCCCATGCGCTCATCCCAAGACCTCCTGCTCTCCAGCTCCCTTGTCATCTCCTCCCATGCTCGCCTCCCAGCACTTCTCTAGAGTCTGTCGCATCCTCTGTAATTCTTTACCCCAACCTGTCCGTCTGTCTCCCACCTTGACTGCCTTTAGGCGTTCCCTTGAGACTCATCTCTTCAGGGAAGCCGATCCCACCTCAACCTAACCGCTCGACCACTCATCCGCACACAGCTCCCTCCTCATGTATCACTGGCCCCTCCCCTTTTAGATTGTAAGCTCTCAGGGGCAGGGCCCTCCTTACCTCGTCTTGAATTGTGATTGCAATGTCTGCCCTATATTGTAAAGCGCTGCGCACACAGTTGGCGCTCTATAAATCCTCTATAACAATAAGAAGAAGAATTCCAACGCTTTGTCAGCTGTTCCAGGGCATATTGGCATCGCAGAGTGTATGTGCAGGAGAACCGATCTGCCCTGGAACAGCCGATCGGTCCTGAAATGTCACTTCTATCTGACTCTGGGAGTGGGGTGGAATGTGAGATCGCAGTCACATAGTCGGATAGAAGTGACATTTCAGGAATGATCGGCTGTTCCAGGACAGATCGGTTCTCCGGCACATACCATCTGCCATGCCGATCTGCCCTGCGAACAGCTGACAAAGCGTTGGAATTCTTCACCTTTTGCCGGTCACACATTCCACTGCCGAAAAAGTGGGCGTGATTACGTTAAAAGGTGTGACCACGGCACCGGTCACGCATTCTAACGCAGTCACAGACTTTGATAGAACACCGGCAACCACAGAAAATATTTTTTGGGATGTCGTTGACCTTTTTTAAATGTTCCTTTTGCGAGTAATAATGATCCATCAATGTTCTTGCAGCTCCTCCGACGAGGACATCCAGCTGCGTCTGGTCACCCGGTTTGTGAACGAAGCCGTGATGTGCTTGCAGGAAGGTATTCTCAGCAATCCCGTTGAAGGAGACATCGGCGCCGTGTTTGGTCTTGGCTTCCCGCCGTGCCTTGGAGGTAAGATGGAAGTTTGGTTCTTCCTGTGCAGCTCGGGCCTGGGAGGCGGACATTGTGTGAGCGAGGAACATTCAGACCCATCAGGAATGTCAATAAGACGATTTTGACTGACAAGTCAATGAGTCCCTAGCAGTGGCTAGTAGGCGGATGGTTGTTTGCCGTCCTGTTTTACACCTTCCTCTGGAGAGTTTTTCGGGAGACAGGGGGATCCGGGGTTATCGGTTCTTTGTAATTGTGCACATTCCCTTTTATCTGTGGTATCCAAGCATAGTGACCCGTGCACCCTGCTCCGTGCACCTTTATCCATGCACCCAGCTCCGTGCGCTCTGCACCCAGCTCCGTGCGCTCTGCACCCAGCTCCCTGCGCTCTGCACCCAGCTCCATGCACTCTGCACCCAGCTCCGTGCGCTCTGCACCCAGCTCCGTGCGCTCTGCACCCAGCTCCGTGCGCTCTGCACCCAGCTCCGTGCGCTCTGCACCCAGCTCCGTGCGCTCTGCACCCAGCTCCATGCGCTCTGCACCCAGCTCCATGCAGATGTTTTGAAGGCTGAACTAGGACAAACCTCTGACTCGTATGAAGTATGTATACAGGTGAGCTTTTAGCTGCCAAGGGATTTGCATGTCACCTTATGAGATCTGCAGAGCCCTGGCAGGCAACACAGGCAGGTTGGTGAGCTGTTGTTTGCAATACAGCTAGGCCACCCCTCTGCCTCCCGGCCTATGACTGGACAGTGAAGGAGCAGCAGAAGGGTGATGAGGTCGTCTTCTCTCCCCTGTTAGAAGCATGTTTCTGGTCAGTATATTACATTCAGCACACCTGATTGTCCCCCGGTGCTCTCCCTCCCTCCAGTGTGAACTCCCGGTACTGCAGGGAGATGGAAGCGGTTCATTTCAGGTCGGATGCACGGTTGCAGCAATGGTTTAACAATACAGCTAGTCATTTATCAATATAAAATGGCATTAACGAAGGACTGAACTCTGGAAGCTGAGACCCAACAGATGGAAGCAGAGGCCAAAGGACTAGCCGCCAGTATTGCCTGTTGGGGGTCTCTGCTGCTGATCTTTCATGACTTGCCTTGCCTTTGTTCTGCACTGTCTCTGCGTGGGTGAGGCCATCTTGGTAGAGGCGGAGCTTGGCTTCCTCGTGTCGGAGTCTTCAGCAAGGAGAGCAGTGAGCGGCAGAGTAGTGACATCACCGAATCTCACGACTATTCTCCTGTGACTGATCCTTCAGACTGATGATTGGTGGGGTTATAAGGAAGCAAGAGAGGTGTAGGAAGCAGGGAGATCCTTGCACTGCAGGTCCTCAGGTAAAGCTTCCTCTCCGGCAAGGAGAACACTGAGCAACAGAGTAGTGACATCACTGAATCTCAGGACTATTCTCCTGTGACCTGATCTGATGATTGGTGGGGTTATATGCAAGCAAGAGATTTGTAGGAAGTGCAGATTGAGAGTGGATGAAGCAGGGAGAGCCTTGCATTGCAGGTCTTCAGGTACGGCTTCCCCCTCCATCAAGGAGAACAGTGAGCAACAGTGTAGTGACATCACTGAATCTCATGACTATTCTCCTGGGACTGATCTGATGATTGGTGGGGGGGTAATGATGATGAAGAAGCAGCCAGCAGGAGAGGTGGAGGAAGCACAGATTCAAAGAATGGATGAAGCAGGGAGATCCTTGCACTGCAGGTCCCCAGGTAAAGCTTCCTCTCCGGCAAGGAGAACGCTGAGCGGCAGAGTAGTGACATCATCAAATCTCTGGACTACTTTCCTGTGACTGATCCATCAGACTGGTCTAGTGATTGGTGGGGTTATATGAAAGCAAGAGAGGTGGAGGAAGCACAGATTCAAAGGATGGATGAAGCAGGGAGATCCTTGCACTGCAGATCCTCAGGTACGGCTTCCCCCTCCACCAAGGAGAACACTGAGCAGCAGAGTAGTGACATCATCAAATCTCAGGACTTGTTTCCTGTGACTGATCCATCAGACTGATTTGGTGATTGGTGGGGTTATGTGGAAGCAAGAGAGGTGTAGGAAGCACAGATTCAAAGGATGGATGAAGCAGGGAGATCCTTGCACTGCAGGTCCTCGGGTACGGCTTCCCCCTCCAGCAAGGACAACACTGAGCAGCAGAGTAGTGACATCACCGAATGAGGTGAAACCTGCAGTCAGAGAGAGCAGTGCCTTAGATGAGCTTACAGTGCAGATGAGGCTTAAGGTGCGGGAAGTGCACAGCTATTTTTCAGAAGGGACTTTAGGACGAAAGGTTCTGCATAACTCGGTGATCTTTCCTTTTACATATGAAACCTTTTTGTACTTCTTCACGCAGGCCCGTTCAGATACACAGACGCCTACGGTGCGCGTCGCGTCGTAGAGAAGATGAGGAAGTACGAGAGCGCGTACGGAAGCCAGTTCACCCCGTGCCAGCTACTGCTCGACCACGCCAAGGACCCCAGCAAGAAGTTCCACCACTAACCAGTGCCCACGTCGGGGCCCCTGACCAGTATCTCGGCCCCCCCGAGACCTGTGATTGTACGGAGGAGAGGGGGAAGGCTTTTGAAACCGCCCCACTAAAGATTGAAGCCGCGCGTGCCTTAGGCCTACGATTACTCGGGGGCACCGTGTCCCCCGCACCGAAGAAGCTTTTTCTCGAATGGAGTTTCATTTTTTGCACTTGGAGCCGGCTAAAAAGACTTAACCCCCCCGAATGTCCACTGTGGGTGAGGGAGCGAGGCGTCCGAGCCCCGGCAATGCGTCCATTCCATGCAGCGTGGGCAATGATCAATAAAATGTTTCGTTTTCACTCTCGTGTCTCGGCTCTTTTTTTTTTTTTCTTTTAAGGGGTTATTTAGACTTTGTTTCAGAAAGACAATGTGGGAGATGTAGTTCTGGGGTCAGTAGGAAATGGCCTCCTCGCCGTTGTCCCTGGAGGATGATCTGCGATCCTGGTGATATCACAGTCCTTAATAACAGCAGTTTGTTGCTACAAGAAATGCTGGGACATGATATAGAGGGAGGTGTGGAGGTATATTTGGGTAATGCCTTTTGTTTATACTCGGGGTGCACCGATATATCGGCCGCCGGAACATATCGGGCGAAAATTGGCACTTTTGGCATCATGCGGAAAGTGCCATTTTCCTGCCGACACATCGGCGCATCCGTGATTTCTTTCCTCCCCGCTGGGCGCTGCTCTTGAGCTCTCCTCCCTGCACCGCTCGCTCAGCCTCATGTGACAGAGCGAAGAGCGGGTACAAGGAGTGATCAGTGATCGCTGAGTGTTTGTACATAATTGAGGACATGGTATGTGTGCTATATCCTCAATTATGAATGAGTGGGAAGTGATCTACATGCCTTCCTACATCACTTCCTGTTCATTCATAGTTGTAGTTATAGTAATCACACAATGTTATCAATGATCATGAATACTCAGTGTAGCGGATTCCTGTTCATTGATAACCGGGGACACAGATAAAGAGATTGAGGGCTCTGTGTGTCTCTGAGGACTCTGTGTGTCTCTGAGGACTCTGTGTGTCTCTGAGGACTCTGTGTGTCTCTGAGGGCTCTGTGTGTCTCTGAGGTCTCTGTGTGTCTCTGAGGGCTCTGTGTGTCTCTGAGGACTCTGTGTGTCTCTGAGGACTCTGTGTGTGTGTGTCTCTGAGGGCCCTGTGTGTGTCTCTGAGGACTCTGTCTCTCCGAGGACTCTGTCTCTGAGGGCTCTGTAAGAGTCATCAAAACTGGAACAGACCAAATCTGGGGCAGCTGCCCGGGGCAACCAATCGGCTTCTCTCTTCAGTTCAGTTACGATTTGAAAATGAAAGGGAGAAGCTGATTGGTCGCCGTGCACAACTGCTCCAGATTTTGTCTCTCCAATTTTGATTAATCCCAACCCCCCCATTGCTCCTTCAGGTAAAAGTGTCCCCTTGGTGGTTATTCTCTGTCCTGGTCCGGAGCACGAGGTTGCTCCTCTGTTCCTTCATTGGTTGTGGCGATTCCCCGATTAGTGTCCTCCCGTCACCCTAAGCTCAGTATATAGGGAGCTACAGCTCGCGGTATACGGAGAGGCTTCAGCTGAATGAATGGATGGCCGGGCAGTGTGTGTAATGGACCCAAAACAGGAACTTTGTTCAAATAAAGCACAAAAAACGAAGCGCACACTCGTGTCAGACGTTCAGGATGCATTTTATTGCTGGAACTTGTTTTGCTCGGAGACCTTTAGAAAGGAAAACGATTATTTGTCTTTTTGAATGTATTTCACATTTGGTTCCATGTAACTCTTCCCTCGATTTGTGTTTATGTATCAAAAACGATGTGTGTAGGCTGTGAGTTCTGTCTGCACGTAGGGGCAGCCATGTTTGCTCAATACATATGCAGGCTCTGCTCCCTGCTCTACTACTCCCTGCTCTACTACTCCCTGCTCTACTACTCCCTGCTCTACTACTCCCTGCTCTACTACTCCCTGCTCTACTACTCCCC